AAACCTGAATTAGTTGCAGACAATTTCCTAGTTCAGACCTTCGAATCAGAAGAAATGGAAGAAACCAAGTCCATTGAGAAAACTGAAGATCAAGAGAAAACTGAATTAGTCGAAGACAATTTCTCCAAGTTAGATATCTCCGAATTACCTACTAGTTCTGGGCTCAACAATGTGGTCAACGAACTGGAGGAGTTTCTAATCCTAACAGAAACTGAGTCAGCAGAAAACGAGAAATTTAAAGAGATTCGGTGCAAGAACTGCAGGAAAAGGGGGCACATAACCTCCAGTTGCACCCGACCTGGAAAGAAGTACAGGCAAAGAATTGATGCCATCATAAACGGGGAAGAAATAACAGAACTCCTCACAGAACGGGAAAGGCAGAAGAACTTTCCCATCACTATCAGCTTCATGGACGAAACATGAAGATTTCTAACCCAGAACTTTTCAAACTCAATGAACTCTTACCTGTGTCCTATACCTTGTTTACCTTTGATCTCAATACTACTGTACCTGTCATTGTTTTACCTTGTCAAATTGAATAAATCCTCGTTATTGCCAAATTGCCAAAATTTTCCTCAAAAGACTGCTGCATTTGCGCGTCTGTTGCGTTTCTGGTTGCTGCTTTATGCGCGCCCTCGTTAAATACTGCGAAAGAAAAGAGATTAATATCCGAACCGAAAGAGTTTTAAAAATAATAGAAATACTCACAAAACATACTTGTTTCTCATCGATGCCCACTCGAAAAAGAAGGTTAGGAACCATCTCATAGGAAGTGTCCCAGAATTTACTCTGAGGACCACGTAAAAGAAAGAGTTCAACCTTAATAAAAGATTTCAACCAAAAGAATGCAGATCGTTATTATGAATTTAAGAAAGGTTAGGAAACCATCTCACAGACAGTGTTCCAGACTGAATAATCTGTGGACCAACTGAGAGACAGAGTTTCAAAACCTCAGACAACTAGCTCACAGATAGTGTTCCAGACTAAATAGTCTGTGAACCAACTGAGATACAGTGTTTCAAAACTTAAAACATAGAAGCACAACAAACCTACCATGCGAACCGGAGGTTATAATAACAAAAGATGACAAAAATAAAATAAAAAATGGTTGGTTTGTTGGTGGCCCCGGTATTGCGACCTTTTCGATGTGGCTAGCTTGGAGAGAATATGGATTCACTGTACTCCAAATGTAACTGAAGGTGGTCCAGGAACAACTAACTTGGAGCTGTGCACCGAGTTCCTCAGGAACCGTACATGAACTGCGCGTACATCACGCCCGGTCTCGGAGCACTACAACATCCCGGCTACAGACACCCGGCATCTTCACCGCCCAGGCTGCCGAGAAGTGTTCACACCAGCAGCTCAAAGCACGCCGATGACCCTATTAGCGACGTCGATGTACACAAATTTGATTATTTTTTAACCAGTGTATCATTCCTTGACCCGAAGCAAGTCACAACCAGGCGAGGATTCGAACCCGAACCCTCACCACCACAGACCAGCACGATACCACAGAGCCAACGCCTCACCCCGTCAGAGAGAGAAGCTCGTTGGGACCACAATCAAAGAGTAAGAGGAGAGAGAGAGAGAGAGAGAGAGAGAGAGAGAGAGAGAGAGAAAAGAAGTGATGAGAAATCCAGCAAGGAATCATGGAAAATATAGAAGACAAAAGATTGGGACACTGGACGATGTCTCCAAGTTAGCTGCTCTTGGTCCACCCTCGGGGCACAACATACAATGCGGCCCCGGCGGAATTAAGCAGCTAACCTTCGTGTGATAATCACTTGCTTCAAGTCAAGAGATGATACACCTTCTAGGAAGGCCCGTTGGCGGGGGATATATCCGCCCCGCCGGAATAAACGCTCCAAACTCTAAGCATGTGATTGGCCACTGGGGGGAGAGGAACCCCTGACTTTTGGGTATTCGTGGCCCGAAACTAACGCCTCAGACCACTCGCTCAATGTGTCCTACCCGAGAGAGGCTGGATAAAGATAAGAAGTCATTCGAAGCAGAAGAGCGCCATTCAAAACAAACAACTGACGATCAAGACTGGAAGCAGACGACTCACCATGGAAACCAGACGCAGTCCAGCATCTCCAGCAGCGGATCATCATGGATCATCACGGATTGATTCATCAGAATCAAAATGATAAAAGCTAAGTATTTGAGTAATTAACACTTAATTAAGTGTTTCTTAGATAAACTTAATGGTGTTTTAGATAGAAAATTAGCTAGATAGTCAGGACAACACCAAGGGACAGTCCTAACCTTCAGAAGGTTGCTGTGTTGATAAAGTTACCTATGCGAAGGCATTTTGTCTCTTTTCTATTTCAGTAAATCATCATCCAGAGTCAACACACGGGTACAACGCCTACTTCATACCGCTACCAGGAAGCAGCAAGATCATCGCTACCAAAGTCATCGACTACCAGCGAACTTCAAACAAGAACTTCAAGAACTCCTATCATCAAGTGTTTTAATTCTTATATTTTGGCTAAGACCCAGAGAGCAGCTTAGTAATGTTTGAGATCTTCACGTCTCGTGCAAGCGAGGGATGGGAGTGCAACATGAAAAGCTGTGAGGCTCAGGCAACAGGTGTCAGTGGTCAAAGCCGTTACTTTATTTTATTTTGTTTGAATTCATTGGATCTCAAATGCCAAGGTCTGGACAGCCGAGGCAAGCACATTAGGTTGTGTCGAGAGAATTTGAATCTTGCAGGAAAATTTCCTTACAGGTCTACCTAAATTCATTACCAAAAGTAAATTAATCACGAAGTGTAAATTGTTTGAGTTTAAAGACTTTTGAAAGAAGGGAATTCCAATTCCAAAACCAAAGACAATTATTCTCTGTATAAAA